AGAGGGGGGTGGGTGGTGTGTGTGCAAGAGGGGCTACTGCTGGGGAGAGGTGGGTGCTGTGTGTGTGTGTGCAAAAAGTGGGTGCTGGGAGTGGGAGTTGGGTGTTATGTGTGTGTGTGCAAAAAGTGGGTGTTGCGTGTGCAAGAGGGGGGTGGGTGGTGTGTGTGCAAGAGGGGCTACTGCTGGTGAGAGGTGGGTGCTGTGTGTGTGTGTGTGTGCAAGAAGTGGGTGCTGGGAGTGGGAGTTGGGTGTTATGTGTGTGTGTGCAAAAAGTGGGTGCCGGGTGTGCAAGAGGTGGGTGCTCTGGGTGCGTGTGAGGTGGGTGGTGCGTGTGCAAGAGGGGCTACTGCTGGTGAGAGGTGGGCGCTGTGCGTGTGTGAAAAGTGGGTGCTGGGAGTGGGAGTTGGTGTTATGTGTTTGTGTGCAAAAAGTGGGTTCCGTGTGTGCAAGAGGGGGGTGGGTGGTGTGTGTGCAAGAGGGGCTACTGCTGGGGAGAGGTGGGTGCTGTGTGTGTGTGTGCAAAAAGTGGGTGCTGGGAGTGGGAGTTGGGTGTTATGTGTGTGTGTGCAAAAAGTGGGTGTTGCGTGTGCAAGAGGGGGGTGGGTGGTGTGTGTGCAAGAGGGGCTACTGCTGGGGAGAGGTGGGCGCTGTGCGTGTGCGAAAAGTGGGTGCTGGGAGTGCAAGAGGGGGGTGCTGCTCACAAGAGGTGGGTGTCCTGTGTGCATGTGTGCAAAAAGTGGGTGCTGGGAGTGGGAGCTGGGTGTTGTGTGTGTGTGTGTATTTGCAAAAAGTGGGTGTCGCGTGTGCAAGAGGTGGGTGAGAGGGGGGCGCTCCGTGTGTGTGTGTGTGTGTGTGTGCAAGAAGTGGGTGCTGGGAGTGGGAGTTGGGTGTTATATGTGTGTGTGTATGTGCAAAAAGTGGGTGCCGAGTGTGCAAGAGAGGGGTGCTGCTGGTGAGAGGTGGGTGCCGTGTGTGTGTGCAAGAAGTGGGTGCTGGCAGTGGGCGCTGGGTGCTCCGGGTGGGTGCGTGTGTGAGAGGTGGGGGCTGCGTGTGAGCAGCGTGTGACTCGTGGGAGCAGGGGCAGGCTCCCAGCCCCAGCCCCGCTGTGGGGTGCTGAGGTGGGGGGGGATGACACCCACCTG